GATTCATTTTACGCTTACTCCAGTCAATTGTATGCACATCTATCTGCTGTTCATAAATAACAAGTATTAAAGCATCCCCCCTCCCAACTTGGTCGCCTGATGCCGCTAGGCTAGCCTAAATACGTAGCTCGGCCAGTTGAGAGTTTTATTCCAAGGGAGTAGCAATGCGCTACAATGCTGTACATATTAGAGATGTGTCATGTTGTGTGTGTGTGTCTGTGTGTGGTTACTGATGAGCTGTTGATGGTGATCATCGTTAGTTGTTTTCCATTCTTTTGTTCTGACTTTCTGTTTTTTTTTCTTGTTCTGATGACACTACTATCATGGGAATATTTTTAGATTTATTTGCCATATCCATGTATCGGAAACGGAAGCGCCCTATTACCATTGTACTACTGCACATATTCATATGTATCATACATACATATATAAATACCCGTGTTTGTGTTCATGAATTGATATGTGAGTGCGCGCTTGAAGTTGTTGACGCGAAAGTATCATCATCGTCATCAGCTATCATTGGTGTTCTAATTGAAAATGTTATGGGAAGCAATTCTCCCCGAACAGAAGGTCAAGTGTGTTGTTTAAACGAGTTACGCTTTCAGCATCATTTAACTTCAACCTCTATTCGGATGTGTAGAAGTAATGATTTCATTTTGCCCTCATAAAAAGAACCGAAGCAAATTTCATATTTAATGCATTCGAAACGCTTCGTTAAATTCTGTCGAAATATATCCATTGGCCGGAAGGTGTTTTTGGAAAAAAAAAATGCTGGATTTCTCAAATAATGGTTGTAATAATTACCATAGATAATTTTTATTGATTTTTAGGCATGAGAAAGTGGAAAAAATTTAAAATTTGAAAATTATGAAACCCTAGTACCAGTTGTAAATCTATGTTTGTATCCATATCTGTGTCAAAATCAGTTTTAGTTTTAACCTACTAATCAAGGTTTCAAGATATTAATTTCCTGACATTTCGGATGGAAAATGTGGCTAGGACCTTGAAACCAAAAAAAAAAAATGTAAATATTGAATTATATCTGTAGTGAGAGATATAATCATATGAGAACGCGAAATGAAAGCCTTCTCGTCGTCAGGGTTGGTTGTAATTCAATCAAATTCAAAATCAAAATCAATCAAATTCAAATTTTTCATAGTCTGGCATTTTCTTAAATGGGCTACATTTTACCATTAGAATGTATATTGAAATTTAATGTTGGTAACGTTTGTGCCAAATACATATCTCTCATATACCATACCATGAGCCACGAACAAGTCTTACATTGCATCGAAGAGATATAGTAGCTATATAGAAAATGTTTACCATTAAGAAGATAAATTACTAAATTTCAAACAATTCTTTTGATAAATGTGACTCAAAATACAAAATATTGATAGTCTTATGGGGACTAAGTGAAAATGTGGAAGGGGGTATTTACAATCGTAGAAAATATTCAGACTAACGAAAAAATTACCAAGATCCTTACAATACCTAAAATTAGGGCGCATCATTATATATCTGCTGTGTCAAAAGGTGGGCCTACATTGATAATTTTTTGTAAATAGCTATTCGACAAAATTAGGAACTCAAAATGGCAAAATTTGGCAATATTAAATGGAAAACATGACCAAATCTTAAAAAATACTTGAAATCGGTGATATCCTTATCAGAGGGCTATTCCAAAAAGTGGACCATATGAATATTTTTTATTTACCAGTGATTCTGAATGAAATCTAAAGATCTCTCTTAGCTCTATTTTAAATTTTGCAAAATATTTCTCAAGCTTTAGGGGTTCCTTTGTATATGGTCAAAACTATATAAGGGCCGTTAAGCATACCCAATCGTTTTGGGTATACTCATTATTATAGGGGTTATGTCCGCAACTTTCTAGGGATTATGACCGAACCCCCATAATGGAATGGGGATTATATCCAAGAAAAAACGGTCAGAACCCGGTCAGAAGAAAAAATAGTTTACTGAACAGGCTATAAGTTTGTCATTCCGTTTGTAACACCTCGAAATATGCATTTTATATCGCACAAAGTATATAGAGTTTCCTGATCAGCATAAAATTCTATGTCGATTTAGTCATGTAATTCCATGTCTGTCTGTTCGTATATGTAAATCTCTCTAGTTTGCGAATGATATACAAAAAGTTTTTAAAACTTTACTCAAATGAATTTTATGTCGAACAGTGTGGCTTGTTTGTTCGGGATACCGTAGTATTTTGTTGTTGCAAAATGGTCAGGCTTTATCCCTTTATTGTTGTTTTTATGAAAACAACGTTTGTTTATTGTTATGGTAATACATGAACAGAGACCCTAATAAAAAATGTCAGATTTCAAACACTATATGTTCACCCAATACCAAATTATACCAAATATAGTACTATTTAGTACTTTTCCAAGACCACCTCTTTATTACAACCCTACTACCAACAGGGACCCCAATACATGTATAAGATAATGGAAATGATTTCCAGTAAGAATTTGAAAAAAAAAAACTCTCTACTTCAACTTCAAAATTGCTCTCTTCACTTGCTCTCATTTACGGGACTTTCGAGTTATCGAACAACATTCGATAACACCGACGCCTTTCAAAATGCATCTTATATGGTTATGCTACTTCGTTCAAGTTGAACGAAAGCATAACAAGTGGAGAAAGATGTAAATGTTTATAAGTGCGGTTGTAAGATTTAGAAGACTTTCCAAAAGAATTTTAGTTCTATTTAATTCTTTGGTTCCCTTCTATTGAGCTTACGATCTCGTCACTTGGGTAAAACATGTTTTTTGTCATAGAAGTTATTTTTAAAATAACTTCTGGGGAGAATATCCCAGACAAAAAACAAGGGAACTGATGAGGATTGGTGGCTCTTTCCGAAACCTAGGTATTCCCTGCCTTACTTCCTGGCAAACATTACCATCGTTCTCCACTAATAAACAAACGTTGTTTTTATAAAAACAACAATAAAAGGATAAAGCCTGACCATTTTGCAACAACTGAATTTTATGTCTTCAGAATTCTACGTCCACCATATAATGGTACCGGTAGATTTTCCTTTTGTTTAGTCACAATTTTTACCCGAATATGCTGTAAATTAGCAGTTTGTGTTCTTGGTATGAGGGAAATATCCTTGCATATAACTGTCCTAAGAGGCTCAAGTTTTTATATAGTCCTATATAACTGTACATCAAAAAATTGCATATACAGATCCACATCATTGTGTATTGCCATATACATAATGGTATTACTAGGCATTTTGATGATTTTAGTCACACTTTTCACCCGATTTATTTAAAACTTGGGCAGAAAACTTCCTGTACCGATCTAAGCCTTCGTATAGCACCCAAATAACAGTACCTTTTGACGTTCGGATTTAAGCCTCATTTGGAGTTTGTAATAGGCACCGCCTTCTATGGCAAATAATTGCCTTAGAGGTCCACGAATATAATAGAAGATATTACAGAATTATTGCGGAATTTCTCTAAGGATTTTTTTATATTTCTCCTTGATGGTGAAGGTTATTAATAGTTCAACCCGATCTAGTTTCTATTTTACTTGTTGGTCTAATGATGGAGTTGAACTTGCGATCTTCTGATTGCTAGTTAGCTACTGCTACAAAAAAAGGGTTGTTTGCTGGAACGGAGATTCAAACCATGGAATATCGGTTTATAGTCGGTCGTGGTTACTCTGTGCCGCCGTTAGTCATTACTGTATGTACTCATTATTTTTCGGTTTATTGGTAGTGCAAAAGGTATGTACTTGTCATTGTTTTCGGGATACTAGCCATCTGGGATTCTAATACTATCTGGGACTAGATGATGTTTTTATAACCTCTACCATTCTACGGAGGGTATATTAACTTTGTCATTCTGTTTATATTTCCTCCAATTACTAATTTCAGACCCAACAATTGAGGTGGAAGGTTAAAATTTTGCACAAATGTGAATTTTTCCAATAGGCTGGTTAACTTCGTTAATGGACCATGTCGGTCCAGGACTTCATATATTCCCCATAAAACGGTGCCTACATATTATCGTATTTTGATGATTTTAGAGATATTTTTAAAGTTCATAATAGGTACTGAAGCCTATGACAAACAATCTGCGTCTTCGTAGAGCCCTAATATAACGATATCTCCCGATATTCGGTATTTTGATGATTTTAGTTGTATTACTCACCAGAATTGTTTCAAATTTCGTATTTTAAGTTCGGAATCTGTACTACACCTATGACATAAAGTTACTTATCAAGGAATTCGTCTCCGCAGAGACCCCATATAAGGCGTTTCATTTATGAGGTATTTTTGTTAGGATTTTTTTTTTTCGGAAAAATTTCAAGTTCCTTCCAAATGGTGGAGGGTATTAAAAGTTCAGACCAACTTAGCTGCTTTTTTAAATGTTACAATTGTTGATTGATGTGGTACTTTTTAACTGAAATCCATATTGCAGAATATTAGATTTTCCTATGAATCAAATGATCTGACATTATTATTAAATATCTATACTTCTAGGAACCACATTATTAAATGCCTTCCACCCACCCTTAGTATTTATCCGTTTGCGAAATATTAAGATTCTACATCCAAATCCTAGACTGAAACATTAGTGGTTTTATTTTTGTGATAGCCTGATATAAGATAACTCTATATAGATGTGCGCAGCCCAATTGTCTATATTTTTCCTAGATTTTCAAGGTTTCAACAAGAAAGAAACTTTGAACCTTGTTCTGAGAAATCCCCATTCTTTACAGAACCAATTTCAATTTAAGGTTAAAGGTCGATTTTATAACAGATTCCTTTCGGCTTAAATCCTTTGTAAAGTCCAACTAACTCAAGATCAAATCGAAACGATAAATAAATGGCCAATATTTTTGAACGAAAATAGAAATGCAAAAACTTGAGTCATAAAATCAATCAACATAAGACCCAATTGTATTGTACCCACTTTGCCCCCCACTCGGCAAATAATAAATATTCGAAATAAAAACAACAAGAATTTTGTTTAACTCAAAATTTTAATAAATTTATTATTCACATTTGTTTTTTTGTTTTGTTTTCTGTTTCTTATTTTTCGTTTGTTTGTTTTTAAATTAACAAATACAAGAATGCTTAGTTTAACTAAAAATGCATTTAATTCATAGTTTAATAGGTTTCGTTTTTAGGGTTTTACTTCGTTTTTTAATAGCGTTTCTAAGGTTTTCAGGGTTTTTCTTAATTTCTTGTAATTCGATTTCAGTTTTCTGGTTTTTGTTTTGTTTTTACAAATACATCACTTTTTTTGTTGTTGTAGATGCCTTAAAATTAAATTACATTAATAATAATATACGAAATACGAAAGAGAATAGATAGGTAGATAGATAGACAGAGATAATAGAGCGAGTAGAGAGATAGATAGAAAGCGAAACTGTATGTGTAGTTGTGGCTGTGAGTGTTTTTTTGTTTTTCTTTTCTTGGGAGTATGGGGCTGGGTGGGGTGGTATGGCGTTGGTGCAGCTAATTTAACTTACCACCACTATACTCCAACGTTTACAGAGTCTACGTAAAGCCCTTTTATAGCATCACGGTTTTATTTTCCAAAAGTTCTTTTTTGGTTTAGCACCCGTCGCTGAGGAATCAGAAGCGGAACGGCCCGATGCCCTCTGAATGTCGGCACAGCAGCGATTATAGTGGAAGGGCGATGCTGGCGAGGTGACAGCTGTTCCACAGCTACCCAATGAGGTCATCATTGCAATGCCCTGATCCTCGGATGTGCTACTTTTGGAAGTCGACGAACCGGATGCCGTTGACGATCGACAGCTACGCATGTTGTGGGGTAAAGTGGTGGGATGTTGCTGTTGGGCCTGCTGCTGCTGTTGTTGTTGCATCTGCGCCTGATGCTGATGGTGCAGCTGCACCTGATGGTGATGCATGGTGTGATGGGGATGGTGATTGGGTGTATGGCCGGACTTGTAGTAACGCAGACTTTCATTGTAACTGGCACCGCTACTGCTGCCACTACCGCTGAAGCCGCTGTCCAGATCGCCTTCGTCGAATTCGGGATTTATACACGACAGATGGGCATGATCTTTCAGTTCGATTGAGTTAAAAGTCGAGGAAAGATTTTCTAGGCTGGCGTGTGACAAGGTACGCGGCTGCGAAGAAGACACTGTGGACGATGAGGTGGATGCGGCACCACCCAGTAGACCACCCCGGCGCGGCTTTTGGGCTGTTGCTGTGGGTGTTGCCAAAACGGCGGCAGTATTCGCACTGACCGCACTAGCTTCGGGTACTTCAACATTTGGACTGACATCGGGTGGGGTTTCGGGCATTATCAATGCCTCCAACGATAGATTTAGCTCATCCAAAACCCGAAAATGATTGTGCTGTACCCGACGTATCTCTTCAATGACATTCGACTTGACAATGCGATTATCGGAAAGGACTTTGCGTATTTTCTGATCATTGACTTCCTCGTAGAGATTTTCCGTTGTGCCATAGCGTGTTGTGTAGTTGTGACGTTCTTCGGCTCCACTGGGCGACGATGAAGTTGAGGGAGGATTTTTGGGTTTCGAACGAAAACTTCGCGCCAAGAGGGCACGTATTGAATTGCGGGTAGGGCTTTTTGAAGGTCCAGCAGCACCAGCAGCGCCAATGCCAGAAGCACTGACACCAGCCGCCGCCGCCGCTGCACCACCAGCTGCCTGTGCCAGCGGAGCTGGCATAATGGCAGCAGCACCGGCAATCGGTTCCTCTTTTTGTGGTATATTCGTGTGACACTTAATAGCACCGGGTTCGTAATAAGCGTACGAATAGACGTGATTATATGGTGCCGTCTGGGACGTAGCGGCAGTGGCACCTTGAAATGTTTGTGAGGGAGCGGGTGAAATTTGATGTTGCGAGTGGTGAGATGGCGTCGACGATGGTGTTACAACACTGGCGGCAAAACCATATTCCAACGATGATGTGGAGGAGGACGAATGATGTTGTGTTGGTTCGAAACGTTCCATTGTAGCGGCTATATTGTTGCGAGACCATTTGACCTGCAAAGAGAGAGAGAAAGGGGTTATTATAATGTTTTACTCAGTTTGTTAACTATTTTAACAGTGACTATCTAGAGGCTAGTTTACACATCATATAAGAGTCATATGTATGGTGACTTTTTGAATTTTTATATGAGCCATTTCTATTGCATACTTTTAGTCGCTCCCACAAACCTTTGGTTCATCAATCCTACACAACATCAAAGACCATAATTTCAAATTTTAGATTTTTTAAAACCCATTTCCATACATCAACTCCACTTCACAAAAAGAGACTCTAATACCAAATTTCAGATTCCCAGCTCTATTTCCTCCTCATATACCAAATTTAGTACCAATTAGTACTTTTCCAACTTTTTAGTAAACATTTCCAAAATCACCTTCAAATCTTAAGCATACACACACACTGATCCCAATATCTACATTTTCATATACCCAGCTTCATCCAATATCCAAATTGTACCAAATTTAGTACCACTTAGTACAGTTCTTACACTTAGTACACATTTCCAGAACCAACTCTCCAATTTGTTTCTTATACTTTGCTTCATTTTGGTTCAATTCTACACAACATCAAGGATCCTCATTCCAAATTTCAGTTTTCCAGCTCTATCCCTTCCCTTGCAGTTCGTTTCCTTCATAAAGTACAATTTGGTACTTTTTGAACTTTTTAGTACATGTTTCCAAAACGACCTTCAAATCTTAACCCTACACACTAACAGTGTAACTTCAATGTCCACATTTTAAATTTTTTAGCTCCATCCCAAATACAAAATGTACTAAATTTAGTACCATTTAGTACAGTTCTTACACCTACTAAAAATTTAAAAAACTACCTCCTTATATTACTCCTAAAGTGACCCTAATACCATATTTCAGATTTCAAGCTCTATTCCATTCAAATATACTAAATGTAGTACCATTTAGTATTTTTTACTACTTTTCGTCCACATTTAGTACTTTTTAGTCCATATTTCCAGAACTATTTTCAAATCACAACCCTACATAATAACAGTGACCCCAATATCAACACTTCAAAAATCCAGCTTTATCCGTTCACTAAAAACCAAATTGTACCAAATTTAGTACCCTTACCAAATTGTGCTAAATTTAGTACACATTTCATAAACCACCTTCTTATATCAATCCTAGCTCCCCAATTTAATTTCTATACCAAATGTTAACATTTTAGCTCTATCCATTCACATAATACCAAATGGTACCAAATATTGTACTTTTAGTACTTTTCGAAAAATTTTAGTTTGAATTTGTGATGAATTTTTTGTACAGCGATGAAATCAATTGTATAATATTTGAGTCTCCTGGTTCTAGGCTACCTCCTTACCAATTTTCGGCCATATCCGTAAAGACTTTCTTGAGTTATAAGGAGTATAGTTCTTTCCGTTCAAAGGTCACAAAATATAGTGCTTTTTTGTACTTTTAGTACACTTTTAGTTCGAATTTAAAAAAATGTGCATCTCTCCTACACCCCATCAGCGACCTTCATGCCAAATTTAATAGTTCTACCTCTAACCGTTTGATCAATACCATTGATGCCATTTTTTAAAACTTTTAGTACCTTTAGTACATTAAAGGAATAATTTGTACCCTATGCCGTCTCCTGGCTTTAAGCTACCTCCTCAACATTCTCCTATTTATTTATTATTATCATTTTTTCTTTTTTTTTCGGAAAATTTCCATTAAATATTGTATTGAAAAGTCCCCCTCACCTGATGTTCAACATCCATTTTGTGATTGCTGCGCCGGCTGTGACCCCTCCTTCGGCGTTCCGCAAACGCCTCGCCAGTACACAGGCCATTCTTCCCGTGTGTCAACAGCAGTTCACTACTAATGCCATGACCAATGCCATTCGATGAGCCCGGCTGCGGTGGCATACAAAATTCAATGGTGTCCGATTCATCGGGAAATATCAAATCACCACGATGATGGCCCAGACTGCCCGCACCCACCGCTGATATCATACCACTTGTCATGGTATTAGAATTGACCATATGTTGACCGCGGGATGAGGATGCCGAACGTTTTTTCATGCTCGCTGTGGCGTTCATATTTCGACCCGAATGCCGACCAGCCATTGAGTGAAAATGATTAGCAGCCATTTGTTGTTGCAATTGATGCTGTTGATGCATGGCCTGCTGTTGCATCGCTTGCTGCTGTTGTTGGTGGTGATGTTGTTGTTGTTGCTGTTGCTGCTGTTGATGATGTAAATGTACTGGAGCTACCTGATCCTGGCTGTGGGGATAATCTGTGGGCGGTGTAAATCCGCTGAAGGGTGGCGATGAGGGTCGCGATTGAAATTTTGGCGCTCCGCTCGTTAACATGGCGTTGTGATGCATTGCCATGTTAGCCAGTTTGAAGGAGTTGCTGTGTGGTACAGCAACAGGATTTCGTTATTCGAACAAAAAAAAGGATAAAATATTTTTCGGTTTTCGGTTGTGTGGTGTGTTGTTGCTTTCCAAACAAAGATTTATAATCAACAACCACTTGACATTATTGTGGTATGGGGTATTGAATGTCAAGTGTGGGATTTCCTGTCAACGTTCCAATATTATATCCATCCACTTGTTATGTAAACTGTAACGAGAAAAAAAATCGAAAAATAAATTAGAAAAATTAGTTTATGTAAAATACACAAAATTTAGTTCTAAGGCATAAATAAGACCTGCTTTAACTGGAGGGGAAGTGTGTTTGCCACTTAAAATTCTTATCTTAATGTGTGCTCATATTTTCATGTTTGCCTAGGATTTCTCCATCTTGTATATCATTAAATGAAACATATAAAGACATATATTATTATTGTTGTTGTTGTTATTTTCCTTATCTTGTTTGTCAGATATTCTTGAGCCTTGTCAATTTAGTTTGTTATTAAAAATTTGAGATATTGTACAACGGTTTTTTTTTTTGAAATTTTTAAAATATGAAAAGATGTTAAGATGTTTTTTTGGGTTACGATGGGATGGAATGTTTTAAAAGCATATTTTTAGGGTTTACAACCATCAGAAATGGAGTAAAGTCACAAATGTACAAATTTCACGAGTTTATTCAGGATTTGAAAATATTTTTGTTCGATAAAAATTTTGAATTTTGATCAAAATTGAATATGTGTACATATAGGTATGACTTGTCATCTCTATTTGTGACCCTAATGCCAATTTTCAAATTTCATTTCTATCTCTACCGCTTCCTCACCTACCAAATATAGTACCATTTAGTACTTTTGAAACTTTTTAGTATATATTTCCAAAACCACCTTCAAATCTCAACCGAACACACTATCAGTGACCCCAATATCAACATTTCAAATTTCCATCTCCATCAGTCCAATCAATTCCCAATTGTACCATTTATGAGTCGAAAAAGTGAAAATTCGTAAATGGGCCATGTAGGACCACGTTTTCATATAGGCCCCATACAACGGTACCTCCCGATATTCGGTATTTTGATGATTTTAGCGATAATATTCAACGGAATGGTTTCAAATTTGGTATTTGTAGTTCGAAATGGATGCTACAGCCTAAGACAGAAAATTGTCTGTGCCCACGTCTTCGTATAGCCCCCATATAACGGTACCTCCCTATATTCGATATTTTGATGATTTTAGCGACATAATTAACCGGAATTGTTTCAAATTTGGTATTTAGAGTTCGTAATGGGAACTACAGTCTGTGACAGAAAATTGTCTATGCAGGTCCAGGTCTTCGTATAGGTCCCATATATCAGTACCTCCCTATATTCGGCATTTTTGAAATTGTTTGAGAGGTCGTATTGAAGTTCGTAATGGATGCTACAGCCTGTGACAAAAAATTGTCTATGCTGGTCCAGGTCTTTGCACAGCTCCGATGTAACGGAACCTCCCTATATACGATATTTTGATGATTTTAGCTACATTGTTGACAGTTTATTTTAAGCTTCGAATTTGAATATGGTAATGGCTTATGACAAACAATGCCTATGTAGGTCCACTACGTATACACCCCAATATAACTACTATCTTCGGAATTTTTAAAATTGTAACAGAATTTTTTAAGGATTTTGTTTTTTGAAAATTTCTAAATTCGTTCAAAAGGGTGGAGGGTATTCAAAGTTCGGACCGGCCAAACTTACTGCTTTTTAACTTGTTAAATATTATTGAATGAAGGTCAAAAATGTCGGAATAGCGTACAATTTTAGAATAAGTTTAGATTTCTTCGAATTGGTTACCTTATGGCCCTCAAACGGCAAATGAAAGCGTCACACGATGCCCGAATGTTGCTCTGCGGTATTTTGACCCATTCCCGGCGAAGCGCTTACTTGAGGTGATCGACACTTTGGTATTGCTTGCCAAAATACTCCAGACACAATAGTCCAACGGATTGGTATCCGGAGATTTTGGTGGCCATTGGTGGAAATGAAGTGAGGAACCTCATTTTTTAACCATTCTTGGGTGGAGCGTGCTGAGTCCTGTTGGAATGTCCAAGGCCTGCGGCCAAAATGTTTGCGTGCTCAAGGCTTTAATACACCCTCCAGAATATTTTCGCGATTATATTCGGCATTTATTCTGATGCCACGGTCGATTAATACCAACGGAGAGCGACCATCGGCTGTTATGGCGGCCCATATCATCACCATGGCCGGCGCTTGAGTTCTGGTTGCCAACTGAAGGTGCACAGTTTCAGCTAACCTCTTTGGCAAGTAAACACGATCATTTTGTTTGTTTACAAACTGCTGAACAACGATTGTTTTCTCATCGAAGAAAACCAAATTCTGCAGTTCACCACTTTCGGCGAAGCGAAGCAAATCTTTAGCTCTTTTGAGTCTATTTTCTTTCTGTTGCCGTGCAACTACTTGTACTTTTTGGAATTTCAATGGCTTAACCCCGAGCTCATTTTTCAATATTTGCCGAATGGAATATTGCGATATGTTCAGCTCACGAGCCATTTTTCGGCCACTGCGACGCGGGTTTCGATCAAGTCGTTTCTTTACGTTTCCAACCTCTTCCGTCAACTACCTTGACGTCGGGCTACGCTACCAGTAACACGGAAACGAGCGATGGTGCGAGACAGAGAGTGCGATACAATGAGCGGTACCTGGAAAATTTTTAACAGCTGTCGGACGAGTGGCTTAGAAATGACAGCAGTCTGAAGTTGGTTACAGTTTTTTCAACTCACCCTGTATTAAATTTATTTATTTATTTTTTGTTTATGGGCATGTATCCCCCAACATATTACATGTCATCTCTAGTTGTGACATTTTTTTTTTTGGCAATTTATGTACCTTCCACTATCTTTACTTTGCATGTGTCAAATGCCAATACACAAGCAAGTCATTTTTACACACATACATATGTATGTAAATCATCTGAACAATATCAAGAAAAAGTGTTAAATTTTTAATTGACTTACGGTTCAGTTGCTAGAGTTTTCTTTTCTTCCTTTTTTTTTTGGATATAAACAAAATACATTTACATAAAATATTCTGAATACATAAAAATAAACTTCTTGTGATAAACGACAACAATAAGAGAGCGGAGATGAGAATTTTAAAACATCGCCTTTTATGTGTGTATTGTTTGTCATTTTAGAATTTTGTAATGAAAATATATATTTTTTTCTTAAAAATTTACATATGAGATTTCGTTTTTAAGATTAAAGGTATTAATTTGAGAATAGGAAAAAACTGATTGGTAATTTAAATAATCCATAATAAATTTAGATATGAAGGAAAGGAGAAGGCATAGATAGATATGAAGGCATAAAGTCTTATACCCTGATCATACTATGGTGCGTATATTAATTCCGCCTGTAACTCCTCGAAATACTCCTGATAATGGTAAAATTAAAAACGATTTAACGATGTCCGCTTGTCAGACTGTAACTAAGACATATTTCGAACGAATTGAGAGAGAAGGCTAAAATTTAGCAGAGATGTGTATTTTATCAGTAGACCACTGTTCCCCCCGATATTCGCATTCTGACGTTTTAGATCACATTTTTCAATAAGATTGTTTATAATTCGGCACAAAGAGTTCGAATTGGGTTCAACATCATGTTACGAATATGAAAGTAGAGCCAAAAAAGAAGACGCATGTATCGGCGTTTTGAAAGTATACATCCTAATATAACCTAAATAGAGGGGACCCTAATGGACCCTAATTTCACCCTTTCGGAAATTTTCTTCAAATTACCAATTTCCAGTCAAAATATGGCTAAGATCTTCAGGATATCTAAAATCTGGGGATATCTTTATATAAGGGCTATAACAAAAGGGAGACCCACATTTATATATATTGTATATTGTATGTATATATTGTAAATAACGTTTCTACATAACAAAAACTTAAAATACCCAAACTTTAAATAAATTGAAGGGTAAACATGACTAAAATGTAAAAAATACTTGAAATCGGAGCTATCCTCACAAGGGGACTGTTCCAAAAAAATTTTTTTTAGTAACCAGCTTTAAAAAAAATATTTTTTATTAAAACCCAACGTTTACATATTTATGAGAAAATATTTTAAATAAAATAAAAAAAAATATTTAAAAAAACACCAAGTTTGTATATTTATGAAAAACTATTTTTTTTAAATCCAAGCAGTTTAATTTGTTGAAAATATATTTAAAAAAAAACCCACGACCTTTAATTTGCTGAATTTTTAATTTAAATCCAAGTTGATAAAATCCACGTTGTTTGATTTATTAAAAAATATTTTTAAAAAAATCCAATTTGTTTGATTTGTTGAAAAAAAAACTTATTAAAAAAATATTTTTAAAAAATCCACAATGTTTGAATTATTGATAAAATATTTTTAAAAAATCAACACTTATAAATTTATTAAAAAAATATTTTTTTAAAAATCCCAAGTTGCCAGATTTATTGAAAAATATTTTTTTTTAAATTCAAATTGTTTGATTTTTTTTTTAAATCCACAATTATAAATTTATAGAAAAATATTTTTTTTTTTCAAAATTCACGTTTATAAATTTTAGAAAGAATATTTTTTTTTAAGTCCACACTGTTTTAATTATTTATAAAATATTTTTAAAAAATCCTAGCCATTTAATTTGTTTAAAAAATATAAAAAAAATCCTAGCCGTTTAATTTGTTCAAAAATTATTAAAAAAAATCCTCGCCATTTAATTTGTTCAAAAATTATTAAAAAAAACCCACGAGGTTTAATTTGATGAAAAAAAAAATCCACGTTTATAAATTTATTTAAGAATATTAAAAAAATCCAAGTTTATAAATGTATTTAAAAATACTTTTTTAAATCTACAATTTAACAGTGGCCCCAATATAAACATTTCAAAATTCCAGCTACATCTGTCTATCCAAATCTAAATTGTACCACACTAAGTACCATTCAGTACAGTTCTTACACTTGGTACTCATAGAATAATCCACCTCCATATATCAACCCTAGTTCCCAACTTAATTCTTATACAAATAGACATTTCATCTATCCGTTTCAGATCTATCCGTTCATATAATATCAAATGGTACAAAATATAGTACATAAAGTACACTTATAGTTCGAATTTAAAAAAAAAACCTTTAGTGCATACATCCTACTCACCATCAGCAAACTTCTTTCTTG